GATACCCACGGGTTAACATTATCAATGACATGCCAGTATAAATCATCAATATCTTACCACGAGGAGGCTAACAAGATCTACCGAGCAATTTACGGTGAGCATCATTTCAAAGTAGCGGCAAGTTATGAAAAATTGGGAAATGCTTATCTCGGCCTTGGACAGTACAATGAGGCAAAAGAATACCACGAGAAGGCACTGATCATCAGGAAAAAAATTTTTTCCGAGGAACATGCTGACGTCGCAGCAAGCTATAACAACTTGGGAGTTGTTTATCAAGATCTTGGACAGTACAATGAAGCAAAAGAATACTACGAAAAGGCACTGATCATCACGAAAAAGATTTTCGGCGAGGAACATGCTAAAGTCGCAGCAAGCTATAACAACTTGGGAACTGTTTATGACAATCTTGGACAGTACAATGAGGCAAAAGAATACTACGAAAAGGCACTGATCATCAGGAAAAAGATTTTCGGCGGGGAACATGCTGACGTCGCAGCAAGCTATAACAACCTGGGAGTTACTTATGGTAATCTTGGACAGTACAATGAAGCAAAAGAATACTACAAAAAGGCACTGATCATCACGAAAAAGATTTTCGGCGAGGAACATGCTAAAGTCGCAACAAGCTATAACAACTTGGGAGTTACTTATGGCAATCTTGGACAGTACAATGGAGCAAAAGAATACGACGAAAAGGCACTGATCATCAGGAAAAAGATTTTCGGCGAGGAACATGCTGACGTCGCAGCAAGCTATAACAACTTGGGAGCTGTTTATCGCAATCTTGGACAATACAATGAAGCAAAAGAATACTACGAAAAGGCACTGATCATCAGGAAAAAGATTTTCGGCGAGGAACATGCTGACGTCGCAACAAGCTATAACAACTTGGGAGTTGTTTATATCGATCTTGGACAGTACAATGAAGCAAAAAAATACTACGAAAAGGCACTGATCGTCAAGAAAAAGATTTTCGGCGAGGAACATGCTGACGTCGCAACAAGCTATCACAACTTGGGAGTTGTTAATCAATATCTTGGACAATACAATGAAGCAAAAGAATACTACGAAAAGGCACTGATCATCACGAAAAAGATTTTCGGCGAGGAACATGNTTGGACAGTACAATGAAGCAAAAGAATACTACGAAAAGGCACTGATCATCAAGAAAAAGATTTTCGGCGAGGAACATGCTGACGTGGCAGCAAGCTATAACAACTTGGGAGTTGTTTATCGCAAATTTGGACAGTACAATGAAGCAAAAGAATACTACGAAAAGGCACTGATCATCACGAAAAAGATTTTCGGCGAGGAACATGCTAAAGTCGCAGCAAGCTATAACAACTTGGGAGTTGTTTATCAAGATCTTGGACGGTACAATGAAGCAAAAGAATACTACGGAAAGGCAGTGATCATCAGGAAAAAGATTTTCGGCGACGAACATGCTGACGTCGCAGCGAGCTATAAGAATTAGGGAGTTGGTTATCGCAATCTTGGACAGTACAATGAAGAAAAAGAATACCACGAGAAGGCACTGATCATCAGGAGAAAGATTTTCGACCAGGAAAATGTTGATGTCGCAAGTTTTAGCAACTTGGGAAATGTTTATCAAGATGTTGAACAGGTTTCTGGCGAGGAGCTTTGTCAGGTATCCGCGAATTGTTGCAACTTGGAAAGTGATGAAGACAATTACGTCAGACAGCTAAATCAAACAAGGGGGAAACGTTGTATTTTATTTTAGAAAATAGGCAAACAAAACAACCGAGCTGATTGGTTAGAAATCTTGGTTCTATGGCTCTATAGCAAGACAGAAACGTTTACGCAGTCACGTTCCTCGTTATCTTCTTTGGGCGCTCTTCTAGAAAAAAGACAGAAAACATTTTCTTTATGTTTCTATTTAAACAATAGAGTGTTTCTGTTGAGGAACTCTCGGCTGATAGTTGCCCCGCGCAAATTTGATGTTCTTAAATTTGCCCGAGAAGCGAAGCTTCGAGGGCAAATACGCCAGTTTTAAGAACATCAAATTTCCAAGGCGCTACTATCATACCGATAGTTCCGAGACTTAAACACTCTATTGTCTTTATTGTTCACCACTAAATTTTCTTCCGTGCGCCAGTTCAAAAATCGTATTAAGTCATTTTCAACTTTTTTGATGAAAGCCGAGAAAGCCAAATGTAAAATTTGAAAAAGAAAACAGACGTAAACCCACTTATTACAATTTCAATTGCTTATTTTCTATAAACCCGCTTCTTTACAGAAAAATTTTTATGGACGAGTACTATCCATCCGGGTATTTTCCTCGGACGGGCACTATGGGCTGATAGTGTCTCTGCGCGGACGAACACTATCGCGTCACGTGATCAATTTAAACCAATAAGAATCGGAGAAAATTTAGTTGTGAACTATAACGAGTTAGAGACACAATCCCGATAGTTTGGGAGAGGTCGGAAAAGCTGAGAAGCACTTGCCAATATATCAGCTCATGTTCCCACAGCATTTCTCGTTCTCCCAAGCTTCCACTCGTGTTTGTATTCAAAAAATTGGTGTATTTCTGCGAGGGACTTTCGGCTGATAGTTGCTCCGCAAAAATTTGATGTTCTTAAAACAAATATTTGCCTGAGAAGCTAGTTTTAAGTACATCAAATTTCGAAGGGGCAACTATCAGGTCGATAGTTCCGAGACATTAACAATTGATCTTCTTTATTGTTCACCACTAAATTTTCTTCCGCGTGCCAGTTCAAAAATCCTGCTGAAATATTTTCAACTTTTGAGATGGTGAAAGGTGATGAAGGACGTGAAAGCCAAATAGAAAATTTGAAAAAGAAAACAGACAAATTCCGTTCACCCCGCGATCAGGCGTTCTTTTTGTAATTTTTTTGCGAACGGGGCAATAGGAAAAATGAACGCCTGATACATTTACTTCACGAGTCGCCTGCCGCCTCTTCGTTGCTTTAATACCTGCGAACAGCGATGTTATCTTGTGTCATGCTGTAAATGTGAGCCAATCGAATTTACCGGAAATTCATGGTGCCGGTTGGAAGCGCGAAAGAGACAAAGCACAATGTACATGTTTACTTACCAGGCAAGTTGAAATGTCTCTTAATTCCGTTAAGAAACAAAAATCTCGGTTGAACATCAGAATCCTTATTGTCGGAATTAATCAAAAGAGTGGGAATAAAGATTACAACATATATACTCCTGGTGACTCCTCGCAACTGCGTCAACTGCACATGTTTTCGACCCTTTCGGGGTCATTATTGATAAATGACGCTCCTGCTTTTGCTCCAGATTCTGGACTACGGACAGACGACCCGTGAAGTAATTGTATCAGGCGTCCTTTTTTTCTCTCCTTCCCCCTGCTGTTTTAAAAAAAACGCCTTATCGCAAGTTAAATTAGGTCTTTTAATTATTTTTTTTCCATAAGCCCACTTGTAAAAAAAAATTTCCCGCACGAGCACTATCAATCCGGGTATTTTCCTAGGACGGGCATTATGGACACATAGTGTTTCTCCGCCGATGAACACTGTCGCGTCGCGTGATTAATTTAATCCAATAAAAATAAGAGAAAATTCGTTGAGAACTATTAAAACTCGTCCGAGGTCTGGGTTCAGTTGTCTGTTTTCCTTTCTAAAATTTAAAATTTAATCTACATGTGGCTTTCACGTCTTTGATCTAAAAAAGTTGAAAGTAATTCAAAAAGAGAAAGTCAAGAAGTTGCGCGTGTAATTTGCTTTTATAAAATTACTTAAGTGTACTGAACTGAACCATTTTCTCCGTTGTCATTGTAAATAATATCCTGTTGTTGTTATTATTATTATTGTTATTGTTATTGTTATTATTATTATTATTATTTATTGAAATCATATCATGCTGTTATATTTCCATATAGAGCGGTTTTCGTAAAACTAAAACCACAGTTATCACTCAAGCCAATCACAA